AGGACTTCCCCCCCGGTCCTTTTTCCTTCCCTTTCCTGGGAAATGTGGAATTTCTGATGGTTATCAATGACCCCATTGGCATAGTGCAAAAGGTAAGGGGATTCACAACATGTGGTACTGGCCAACACAATGCAGTCTAATTCCAGTCACTTCCATGGCCCTCAGAGGGGCTCTTCATGAGTGGGGAGGACGTTTAGCCCATGATCATCAAGGTGGATGATCTTTGCCCAGGACTACAGAGCCACATCCTTGGGGCAAAGGGCATGGGACAGAACCATGGGTTCCACTTCAGCTGTTGGTTGTTCTGAGGACAAGTGTGACTGGGAAAGGAGTTAAACACCAGGTGAAAATCCTTGCTCAGCTAAGTCTTGCAAAGCCTGGAAAATACAGCCTGGAGGGTTTTACCCCAACTTCAGAACACTGATAGGAGAAATGAGGAAAAAGTCTGCACGCAGTCAAGCCAACACTTGTGCAGCCATTCTGCTGCCTCTCCCAGGCTCAGTTTGCCCTATTTCCACTGAAGTCTGCCTGCCCTTCTCTGCGGGTGCAGGATGCCAAGGCTTTTCTTCTCCCAGCAGAAAATGTCATTGCAAATGTACCCTCATATACTTAATTACCTCATCCCCAGCTTACTGAAAAACATGGAGATGTCTTCAGCATGCAAATAGGCAGCCAGTCATTTGTGATTGTAAATGGGCTGCCACTGGTCAAGGAAACCCTTGTGAGCCAGGGAGAGAACTTCATGGATCGCCCAGAAATTCCTATCAACACAGATGTCTTTGGCAATTTGGGTGAGTTATCAATAGAGTCTTATATCTAAAAAGCATTGATTTTTTTTTTTTTGAACCTGCCAGGAGGAAAGCTGGAGGAAATGCCCTGGCTTGACATTCATTCTGAGCAGTAGCACGAGCATGGTTGAGCCTCCTTTATAAAGGCAGATGTCCTCCATCATCTTCGCCTTGCTGAGGACATCTGTCTTTGCTCACATTGGAATGCTTCTGCCAGGGCTGGTCTTCTCCAATGGGCACCTGTGGAAGCAGCAGAGAAGGTTCACCTTGACCACCCTCCGAAACTTTGGCCTGGGGAAGAGGAGCCTGGAGGAGCGGATCCAGGAGGAGTGCCGGTTCCTCACGGATGCGTTCAGGGATGAGCAGGGTGAGGAGCACTTCCCTCAGCAGTTGTGCTGAAGGCAGAATCCACCCTGGACCATTTTAATTAAACCTACACAAAAGCCTGCTGAAATATACCTCATTTCACAGGGAATGCTAGCAACCTGCCAGCATCCCATTTTCTTTATACGGATGTTTTGCCCTCAGATTAACTGATAGATGCAGCTGTGTAACACTCAAAACAGTATTCTTACCCCACCTTTGTCAGATTGCTGAATTTCAAACCTCTAGAAAATTCCATGAGCCTGTTAGTACTAATGTTCACAATTAATTCCTATGGTGTTTCCTCTTCTGCAACCATTTCAAGTCTTTCCTTCCAAAGTAAACAACCATCTCCAAGAAGGTGTTCTACTGGATGCCATTCATTTCACTTATTGGACATTTTCCCTCCGATGCTGTCACTTTCTTCTCCTTTTCTGTGGAGAGAAGAAGAGAATTGATTGTTCCCTTTTCCATCTCCAGGAAATCCTTTCAATCCTCACCTTAAAATCAACAATGCTGTTTCAAACATCATCTGCTCCGTCACCTTTGGCAATCGGTTTGAATACCATGATGAGGACTTCCAAAGCTTGCTGCGGATGATAAATGAGACTGTTACCCTCCAAGGGAAGATAATGAGCCAGGTACAACCCTCCTGCCCTCAGCACTGGTAGCATGCAGATTTGAAAGGCAGTGTTTCTTCTCTGGAGTCAACCACAAAACCTTGAGCGCTTTTTAGATTCTGTGAATGTCCTGAGTTGGAAGGGACCCATAAGGGTTATCAAGTCCAGTTCCTGGCTCCGTATAAGAATACTTACGGTCCAAACCCTATTTTTGAGAGCACTGTCCAAATGCTCCCTGAGCTCAGTTAGCTCAAGGCTTTGCCCACTGCCCTGAAGAGATGTCCCGTGCTCCCCTCCCTATGGGGCAGGACTTTACCCTGTCCTGACACAGCTCCATGCCAGTCCCTTGGATCCTGCTGCCAGAGAGCAGAGCTCAGCACTGCCCCTTCACCCTGTGAGGAGCTGCAGGCCACCATGATGAGCTGCAGGGCCACCATGAGGCCTCTCCTCATTCTCCTCCACGGTGAACAAATCAGGGGACCTCAGCACTCCCCATACATTTGCCTTCTAGACCTTTCTCCATCTTCTTTGCACTCCTTTAATGCTCTCCAATAGTTTCATATCCTAATATATTGCAGCACTCAAAACTGCACACACTGCTCAAGGTGAGGCCATCACCAAGCACAGAGGTCAGGTCAAATACAGGAGATGGTCTCTCCTCTGAGACCATGAAGACACAGCCTTGAAGGGTTATGTGACCTCCACCTCTGGATGCATCCTGGTGAAGATGCAGTCCCCAGTGATCACAAAGCTGAGCTACCTCAGCTGGTTTTCCTGTGCTTTGGGAAGGAGCTGAATACAGTAGAGGGTTTGGGCAGGGCCCAGGGGAGGTCATGGGAAGAAGCAATGATAATGTTGCTAAGGACGTTCATTGCCATTCATCATACGGTTGCACAGAGGGCTTCTTCATGTAATTTCATTCAGCCATATTTTCAAGTGGTGCAATGTTCACATTGCTCCATTTCACTCAGCATCACCACCTCCACTGAGTGCCAGGCTTCCTGCTGTAACTCTGAGGAATGCAGTAGTTCCTCTGACAGTGGAGACAGCAATCCTTTGTCATGCTCTTCTGGAAATGAGTTAATTCCATCTACTCCAGTACTGTAGGGTTGTGGCTTTGCAGGCTTTTCAAGTCTTGAAAACAGAAGGGGTTTCAGTCCTTTACTCAGTTTTCCTCTTTTTTTCTGTCCAAAGCTGTACAATGCTTTTCCCTTCATAATGAAGTACCTCCCTGGATCCCACCAAACTGTTTTTAAAAACTGGAAGTTGATGAAAAATTTTGTCTGCAATGTGATCAGCAAACACAAGGAAGACCTGAACCCCTCAGAGAGCCGAGACTTCATCGACAGCTACCTGCAGGAGATGGCCAAGGTCAGCAGTGTGGAGCAAGCCCTTCCTCAGTGGGGATTGAGATCAGGAGGGCTGAGAAACAAACCAGATCCTACCTGAGCTGCTGGTGTGTCCGTATGTGAGCTCAGGATGGAGATCAGGTTTGGGGCATCCACTGGAGGGATGAGGATGCAGCTTCTGCCAAAAGCTTTGGGGCAGAACTGTGTGGGGTGTTGAGGAAGACCTCGCTGCTCATGTGACACTAACACTTGGTTTTCTGAAGCCCAATAGCAGTGACTTCTGTGAGGATAACCTGGTGGCATGTACTCTTGACCTACTGTTTGCTGGGACTGAGACCACTTCCACAACCATCCGCTGGGCCCTGCTGTATATGGCCGTGTATCCAGAAATTCAAGGTACAGGTAGCAGCAGGGCTGTGTGCTTCCTGGGTTTTGCCTGTGTGGTTTGGTAAGAGAGTCACTCTTTTGAAAGACCATCAGGAATCCTTCTATACTCAAGCAGGAGAGATGCAAAATATTGTTTTGTTTATTTGTTCATGTTTGTGCTTTTTCTGTTTTAACACTTGGCCTGGTAATTTTGTAATGCTTTACCTTGGAACCAAGAGACAGATGTGGCCACCAGTCATAGAAGCACTGGAGACCCCTGAGGGCTTTCCAGCAGAGGCAGCAGGAGCTTTACACAAGGCACAGGGCCCATTTAGTAGGTGGAGTGATGAACTCACAGAGCGGTGCCATGAGTCCCCTGGTGGCACATGATTGCCCTGGGATGGTCCTTGGGGGACCCGCACAGCAAACGTTATCTGTTATCCCCAGGAGATCCATGGCTTTGCTGCACCATAGCTGATCCCTGCTCTTTCCAAACAGCCCGTGTGCAAGCAGAGATTGATGCTGTCATTGGGCAGACACGACAGCCAGCCCTGGAGGACAGGAACAACATGCCCTACACCAACGCTGTCATCCATGAAGTGCAGAGGAAAAGCAACATCATCCCTTTGAATGTCCCAAGACAGACAGTGAAGGACACAGTCCTGGCTGGCTTCCGGGTGCCCAAGGTAACCCCATCCTAAGCACTGAGGTCTGAGCAGGAGTCTCCCATTGCTCCATCTATGCAGGAATCAGTATAGTAACCAGGAGGTAGGGTAAAAATCCCCCTCCTGTTGGCAGTGGCAGAGAAAGTGCAAAGTGATTTTCTTTCTCTTGTCTCAGGGCACTGTTATGATTGCAAATATATCCTCTGTGATGTTTGACAAGAAGGAATGGGAAACCCCTCACAGTTTTAACCCCGGGCATTTCCTGAAGGACGGTCAGTTCTGGAAAAGGGAGGCGTTTCTGCCATTCTCTATAGGTAAGATTGGATCAGTTTACTGGGGTTTGATGCTTCTGTGCAGAAGCACTGGGATGGGGATTTCAGCTGCACAATGGAGAACCTGAGCTAAGCACTGATGGAAACAGCAGTTGCTGGTTCCACCATAGGAGGGCTGCTTGCCCACTGCCGGTACCAATCAATACTAGACCCTTCCTTAGCAGTAACCATGCAGGCACCTCAAAGAACCACCTCCTCCGCCTCTTAGGCCTTTCTTCACAAACACGGGAGAATACAAAAGTGTCCCAGAAATGCATTCAGGAATGCAAGGGCAGTGCTCTGTGATCCCAGTCCCACACAGCTGAGGTCAATGGGCTCTGCCACCACAACCACAGAGTGCCAGCATCTTCCTTATAGAGAGTGATTTTAGCATCTCCAATTTCCTGCCCTAGCATGGCACTCTTTCTGTGCTGATTTGGTTCCGTTCCTTGGAGTCCAGCCAGGCACACAGGAATTACATGTGAAGCACTGCTCATCCCAGCAGGGTAGGGTAAAATGTGTGTGTATACACTGACATGCATGTGACCTCACTGCAGCACCCAGCTGGGGGCAGATTGTGCTACATGGGGAGCTCAGCTGGGATGGCAGTCCTAGTGCTGGAAATGTAAGGTGGGCACAGGGATGCGGGCAGGGTGATGTTCCTGCAGGAGCTGTGTGCCGAGGCTTTTCCAGCAGAGAAAGCAGCTGGGCAGCCAGCAGGGCTGACTGGGCGCTGGGCGGCTGTCTCCGCAGGGAAGCGCGCCTGCCTGGGTGAGCTGCTGGCCCGCGCCGAGCTCTTCCTCTTCTTCACGGCTCTGCTCCAGAAATTCACCTTCCAGGCTCCCCCGGACACCATCCTCGACCTCAGATGCATTCTGGGCATGACCTTGGCCCCACGGCCCTACAAGATCTGTGCAGTGCCTCGATAGGAAGCACAGCCACTGCTCTTGGAGAAGGAATGTCTCAGCTTTGGCACAGATGCACAAACTGAGTGTTCATCAGCCACCATGTGCCATGCTGACAACCTCCTCACGTGTTCTGTTTCTTTCTAAGCTAATTGCAGAATAATTTCTTTTTACAAGCAGATCTTGCAGGCTGTGTCAGATGAGAAGGTCTATCAGCACTTGATGGGCTGGGGCACTTCTGGGCTTGCAGCCCAGCAATGACAGTGAATGAGGAGCTCAGGACTTTTTTAAATTCCATGCTGGATGGCCATGCATCACACCTGTGGTTCAGTACTGGTAGAGAGCAACACCTGAGCTCATCTCACTATACTGGTAAAAGCAGTAATTGCAAACAGTTCCTACTTTGAACTTAGGAAAGCAGTTTGTCAAAAATACCACAGTGCCCTGTGATATCTCTCTCTCATGAGCATTAATAAATCCCAATTGAAGCATTTTTGATGTGCAGCATTTTGCAAAGTGGTGACCAGCACAGCCTTTTCAGCACTGCCTGCAGTCTCCAGCCGTGCCAGCATTTGGGGCAGCAGGGGGTGGGATGTAGAGCCATGCTGAGCTGCGTAGCACCAGCTGTCCCTTAGCAGAAAGGAGGGCACAGGAACAGCACAGGCCATTTGTGCAGAGCTGATGAATATTCATGATCCAAGCTCTATGCGCAAACCAGCAGGAAAACCACCAAAGCTGGTGGCTGCGTTCTGCCACACCACTGCAATGAATGCAGTGACAGACACTCAGAGGATGACAAGTGCCACTTCTGACATCTATTTCTAAAATAGCAGCACCTGGAGCCTTAGCAAATACAGGTCCTGTCTCCTAATGTTACCTCAGTAGTCTTCTTTTCCGTCCCCCAATCCTGAGTGCTCTCCTCAACACTGGACAGCAACAGTGAGGAAGGCTGAGCTGGCACTGCAGTGCTGCCCAGGATGAAATGCAGGGGCCATGACCAGGTTCAAAACCTGATGTGGAGAATACACACTGTCTTCTCAGCATTTCTGCTCACCTCGTGCACTTCTCCCCTCTGGTCTACCTGGAAGTCCCTGCAACTTTACTGCTTTCTTATCTACACACACTGCCTCATGGGAGACAATAAATGGCTGCAATCTTCCTTTTCTGCTGCATTTATTTTTTTAAAAGGGCAGAAGTAATGAGGATTTTTCCTTTAAGTGTGGTGTACCCTATTGGAGTGCAGGTGAACACATCAGGTTGCATGATAAAGCATTATTGAACTTGTTAAGGTTTATCAGGTGAACGCAGCAGCTCCTCTCATTAACTTCTGCGTCTCCGCAGCCACAGCTGCCGCCCCCCAAACAGAAGCAGCCCGCACCGCCCACCGCATCACGAGTGCGA